ACTACTCCTTGAGACTGACAAAAACTATGACATTGCAAAACAAAATGTAGGAATAAGGGACATACATACAAGTAACGCACGTGATAAGAATCCCAATATTCCTCCCCCCTCCCAAGGCTCGCAACCGTACACATTATTCACGCCCCTGAACTTTATTAATATTCTAATGACCCATCCACTTTAACATCGTAGATTTCTTTCAGAAGAGAAAAATAAAATAATAGTGTCAAATGCATTTGCGATTGTTTTTTCTAAGAATCTCATTTATCGCAGATATCGAGATTTTCCCTGTACGTTCCACTTGAAAATAGACTTTTGGGAGTTGGGGCTGGGGGTGGGGCTGAAAAATTTGAAAGAATGTGTTGTCATCTGTAAGGAATCTATTGGCCAAGGTTCAGCTCGATAGGTTTGACGGGCTGTGGTCAATAAGCCGCTCGAAGATTATGCTAGTCAGTCGGCTTGAAAAGGAGCGAAGTTAATGTAAACTTTATGAATGATCTAAAAATAGAATTAGTACGTAGAAATAATACACAATACAGGAGTTTCAACGTTCTTGTTTTATTGGGTTGTTAAAAAAATATATATACATTGTTAAAATAATTTTAACGCACACTTTCCATGTGAAATTTAAAATGGATTTTTTTTGTTTTAATTTAATCATCATATATTTGTCATGTCCCTTTACCCAAATATACTTAAGATTTTTTAAAAAAAACACACACAATAGCCTCCCCTTTCGTCCTATTACATTTTTGGTTAATTCAAGTTAGGACACCTATCACACAGATTCACATTCGTGATTCGTTCTAACATTCTGCGATCCCAAACTAAGCGCCAATATTCCGTATCTTCAATAATAAGGTGATCAGTTTCACTCCATACACAGTTACAGATTTTGTAATCAGTGATAGTTATAATTCTCAAAATTCATTTGTAAAACGGAAGAGCTTGTCATCAAATAAAAATGTTTCAATATTTTTTTCTTCTTTTAAATAATAGTAAAATTAATCAAAATTTATTTTAAAAATAAAATACTTAAATGCATCAAATATACTTGCGTCATGTTGGGCTAGTCTGTTAACATTATAAAATATGTAAGGGGAAATGCATTGCTTTATTTAAAATATAATCAATATTCCCGGCGTCTCTCAGGTTTACATTAAGCGTTTTCAGAATATACGTCAATTTAGGACTCTGTTAAAAACGTTTTACTAAAGTAACAATCAAAACATAAAGGCAGACTTATAATAACTTTTGTAAACTTTGAACATTGATTGTAGCCCTTTAACAGCAGATGGAATTAGCCTAATGCCTTTCAATTGTTTACTGTTTTTTTCCTGAAGCAAACAATGTTTATGAGGAATGGGTATTTAGGGTCGTTTAAGGAACAAACTTTATTTAAAATGCAATCCAATTAAAATCGTTTGAAAAAGCGCCAAATATTATGGCGTTCTATTTCATTCTATTAACTATTCAAAATATGGTGACTTTATTTTAGTTGAAAACCCTCCACTATTTGAACATAGATATTCAGGCGCTTGTATAACAAGACTGGTTTACATCTATCCACTCAATGTAGTTTTAGTGTTTATAGCCTGTATAAGAAAACAAAAGAAATATGGACACCCGGCGCTGAATGGGACATTAAAAAAAAAATCTGACCAGTTTTTCCTTCTGGATAAATGACTGCATTAACCGTGTATGCCAAGTTGGATCACGTTCCATCACATCCCGTAGAAGCATACGTGGTTCAAACAGATCATTTAATATAATACATGAAAAATACACGATTCAAAATCTGAAATTTAAAATTTAAAGCGCACAACTTATTAGATTTCCCCATGGATGCATAGGAGGTCTAAGAGGTGTGTACGCTGTCCACTCTGTTCAGTGTCACGCACCGCCTTTCACGGTAACACTACAGAGTCATTAAATAATATTTAGACAGAAAATCATTTTGTGTGGCATTTAAGTAGCTTATAATGAATGTACAACATATACCTAATATGAGGTTAAAAGTGACCATTAAAAAAATGTCTGAAGTTATTCGATGTGTAACAAATTGTAAGACTATACTGCGAAATCACAAAATAAACTCACCAATTCCGTGGCGTATTTTGACTAAATGTTGACTAGGGCTATTTCACAAACTTGTGAATCTCCCTTTCACGTACAAATATTATTTATAGTTGGTAATAAAAATAAATTCATAAATACCTCCTAGACCGAAAACACTTGGTACTCAAAGCACTTTGAGGCACGCCCCAGAACTAAATGATAATTCTAATCTTATGTCCACCACCACCCCACCCCTCCCAACACTTTTTTTAGTCCACGCAATGAACTGTAAAGTCTTGAAATATTGACACCACATCATCCGTATAGTTGACGAAAATGGTCTCAGTGAACAAAGACTTTTGAAAAACTTAAATCAAATCAACGTTAACATTGTTTTAAAAGCGCACAGTTCTGTAAACGTGGAATAAGACCTACCTAAACGAAAAGGCGCACTGCAAACAAAACATACAGGTATCAAGTAGCTTACCTTAACTTAAGCTGTACTCTCTTCGATTTTTAAACGAACTTTTCAATAAGCATTTACCTATAGGCCAGGCGTTGTAACCAGGTGAGATTAGGCTGCGATCAATTGCGTTTGTTTATGTGTTTGTTATAGAGTATAGAGTAACTGATAAATTTTCATACATACAACCGTAGTCAGACTAGGCTTAATATAAGGATATTTAAATATTTACAACATGGTGCATTCATTCAATTTAATTAGTAACATCATATTTCAAATTTTTTCTGAGAATCTGTAAGAAAACGATCGTCACTCTATAGTTGAAAGGTTGTAGATTTCGTTGTCGTTTCTCCTTACAATTCTGGAACTTCATTGTCCTTTTCTATTGCTAAATAAGGATAAAGAAAGATTGAACATTTAAATTATGAGCAGGAACTACAATTAACATTGATAATAAATATCCTGTTGTGTAACATTTATACCCAGGATATTAAATTCATTTCGCTAATCCATTACAATGAAATGTTGTTGTTATTTTTTGACATGATAAATGCTTTCTTCGTTTACCCCAGTGGTAGGCACTAGTGCCTCCAGGAGCTCCATCCAGCTCTTTGAAGAAATACATGCAAATATTTGCCTAGCAAGTGAATTTTTTAAATTGCTCTTTGCTCGTTTCTGATTATAACTAGGACTGGGCGAACCTCTTTTGCCTCACTATTGATGGAGGAATGAACATAAGTGACATAAAGAAAGGCTTGGTTGGACAAGTGAAGCAGATGTGTCATGAGAAAAACATTCTACAACCAATGTTCATGCACTGCATTATTCACCAGCAAGCTTTGTGTGCTAAATATGTGGACATTAGCAGCGTACTGAATCCTGTGGTGAAGGTGGGGAATTTAATTAGATCAAATGGGCTCAACCATAGACAGTTCCGAGACTTGTTGAAAGATGCAGACACAGAATCGCAAGATTTACCATATTACACAGCAGTAAGATGGCTAAGTTGTCAGAAAGTTCTGAGCAGAACATTTAAGTTATGAAAGGAATTCGGTGACTTCCTGGAAAGTAAAGGCAAGCTACAGCCATTACTGTCTGATGAAGAGTGGGTACGGAAATTGGCCTTTGCTGCAGACACAACTAGGCATTTACATATTCAGAGCCTAAAACTACAAGGAGAGGAAAATTTAGTTTATGATCTATACACCCACCTAAAGGCCTTCAGATCCTAACTCGTCTTGTTTTTGGAACAAGTACAGGCCAACAACTTGACGCACTATCAGCAGTGCAAGGTCTTCATTGCTGAAGCAACAGCGGAGTTTGCCTACGTCATTTGTATACGATATCATCAAAGACCCCCAGCTGCAGTTTTAACAGCGGTTTTCTGACTTGGATTTAAAGCCAGAAGAATTGAGACTGTTTCAAAACCCATTTGAAGCAGGTGTGGCCAGTTGCACAGGTGAACTGCATCTGGAGGTTGCAAGCAAATGACCTCCTTAGGGACAAGTTCAAAGAAGGACTGGTGGGTTTTTACCAGTTTTTGCCCAAGGAAGACTTTCCTAATGTCAAAACTTTTGCATCAAAGTACCGTTCAATCTTTCGAGCAACATACCTGTATGAGCATTACATATTTCAAGAATGAAATGCGTGAAGGACAATTTGAGAACAAACTTGTCAGATGATAATTTCAGGTCTATGTTGATGTTAGGGACATCAAATCAAAAGCAAGAAATGCCTGCTATTTTGGCATCCAGAAAACAATTTCATTTCACCATTCCCACTAATACATGTGTTCATGCGTTGTGTATCAATGTGTTATTAATTAATAACTGAATAAAATAATTTTAAATAGATAATTAAAAACAACCTCCATGATTCGATTCCTTTTTTTTTTAAACTCAATTGTGTAGCCCCCCCCCCTCCCACTGCTGTTTGATAGTTAATGCGGCCCTTGGACTGAAACGTTTGGAGACCCCTGACATAGAGGATTAAATAAATGGGAGACAATTTGCATCAGCGTTTACAAAACTCCTAAAAATAGCTCAGCAATTTTTCGATAGCAATTGATAATATGAAGTAAGTTCGTGATTCTACGCAACTTCTAATTTTTATTCGTGCAAAAAAAAATATTTTTAAGTCAGAGAGGTGCTTCCTACACTAGAACTAATTAAGAGAACAACACCAACAGAGGGAATTTATGAAACATGTTAAAACCTTCTATTGATTTGGAACTGGGTGGGGGTAAAATATTTTTAAAATACGAAGAGAGAGCGAGAGAGAGATACAGAGAGAGAGAGAGAGAGGGGGGGGGGCATTTCTTTTCAACCCACTCAGAAACCAAAAAATAGAACAACCCTAGAGTATTTAATCCATCATTCCTATAATTTACATGCACATTGCTTACTTGTTTTAACAAAGAGTGTGGTATTGCCGTGTCTAGCTACCTTTCCGTGGCAGTAGACCACACAATAAAACTTGTAGCCATTGTACCGTCTCTCTGCCCTGAAGCTCAGATGTGACTTGTGTTGGTAGTAAGGACACTTGTCAAAACCAGGTTTGGAGATGATTGAAGCGGTCGTTGTAGCGTGGTTATGAAGTGGATAGCTGTAGTCAATCATTTTCCCATTTCTATGTTGGCGACCAAATCGCCAGTCAAATGTGATGTCTTTTGGACCCTAGAGAAAAATATTAACCATTAAAATTAAAATACTTTTTTAATTGTTTATTTTGTATGGATTTGGAACGAGATTTCAGTTTGAGGCATGACATTGGAAACCATATTTTCACAATGCTCGAGCGATAATTAGTTGAACTACGCAAATCTTCTCGAACCTTTTGCTATTTTGATAATTTTTGTAAATAAGAAACAAATATAAACTAACCTGTATGGAACAAATCATATTTATGGTTGCTCCTTCAATATATTCAACGCGGCCTTCGCGAGTGAACACATCAAAAATGAACTCATCCAAAGGCGCTGAAAAAAACATTTGAAGAAAAGGATGTCACAGAATATAATAGAGTACATCAGAGTACAGCATGGCCCAAAGCTAGCAGTTCTGAAGTACCCGCCAAAACTAGCAGTACTGAAGTACCCGCCAAAGCTAGTAGTACTGAATTACCCGCCAGAACCACGTCCTAGAACCACGTTGAACACATAATTACGGACTGTATCAATAGCTGTAAATGATGCAAACTTCATATGAAGAGAAATATTTTTCTGTTATACCTGCTGGACAATCTTATTCTTACCTTGTAGTGAAATATACGCTCATTAAGCTGAAAAGTAATGTCCAACTAAAAGAAATAGTTACCCTGTTGTCTACATTTGTGGAAAACTTCACAAACTCTTATAGTCTTCTTAGACTTTTCAGTTTTCAGAAACTCATGAAGTATCGAAAACCGCTCCTTTCCTTAGAAATCCAACATTATTTTGATAACTCAAGTCTCCATGTTCTGTACATGTTATTTAGCTTAGTTTTAAACAAGGGCGATATTTTTATGATGAATAGATTCTAATGAAATTAAAAAGTTTCAATTTTGTTCCGTGCCGGATTAAAAATTTCTAGAGTCCACATTCGGTAAAATTTTACCTTCTACCGTGTGGCTCTCGCAGGGTGTGTGAATGAAGTGATCGGTCTGGTCACTACTCTGACGTTTTTAAATATGTTTTCGATGTATGCATTTAATTGCGTCTTAGAGAACGAACTTTCTTCACTTTTTCCTTGACAGGATTGACCAGTTTCAACTCTGCTCCCTTTGCCAAAACGTTGTTCTAAAATTATCCATATTCATCACTTTGAATTCAAGTCAACATTGTTAAATATCAGGGTTAAGATGGACTGTCTGTGTAAATTGCTACATATACTATTGACAACGTCACTTCAAGTACGTGCAAGATCTCATCAAAATTACTCCGTCACTTTGTGGCCATTTCAACAAGTCCTTTTTTTTTTTATTCCTGTCCTTGTCAGGGAGTCAAATTTTACTGACTTTAAAGTCATATTTAGTCATTAATTCTTATATCGCGGCAAAAATATCCTAAGATTGGGTCAGGTTGTGCAATGAAAGTAACGTCAGAGTATCCTCACGAATGAACCCATTGAAAACCCGCGCAGTGGAACAACGACTGCTTTATAAGTGGATTCATCAGCCGGGAAAAATTATTCAGATTCTCTTCCCTCTGCTATCAATAGATAACAAATAATAAGTTAATTCATTCTACCGATATCAGTTATGCAAGGAAAACCAAATGGAAAACTTAAAATAAAGGTCACAACGAAAGAACGAACGTATCGACAAGAAGCCGTCGTCAACTAACAGTACAAACAAAGAATAACAAACATACAGTTTTTTCTTAAATATTCAACATATAAAAAGTAAAATCGAATCTTGAATGTAATATCTGAGAGAAACTGCGAAAGAAGGTGGTAAGATCTGATTAGGTAAAGAAGTTATTATTATTATTGATAAGGGAGAAATACGAAAGAAAAGAAGTACACGGCGATTGGATGAATAATGTAAAAGAGGCAGTACATTTTTAGAAAGTGAAAGAAAACATGATAGTAATGTCATGTTGTGGATCATTCTTATCTCCAAGTTACCCTGGCTGGCTTTTGGGAGAGTTAAAAACACCTATTAGGGAAACGTCCTCGGCACCCTTGTAGGCACTTCTATAGCATTGAGACAATTTAGCACGTTGTTTCTCTTTCACAATATTGTGAATTTGTTCAGTAAATCTATCGGAAATTCGCCGGCCAATTTTGCCAACATAGCCCATGTGGTAGCGAATACAAATAATGGCACAGATAACATTCGGCTTGTGCAAAGGAAACTGCCTCTTATATGAAAATGAATCATTGAAAAGGTAATGTGTTGACCATGGATGACACAACTGCAAAGACTGCAACGTCCGTGTCCACATGTTTCGGTCCAAAAGTGGGAGAGGGTAACATGGATGTGGCTACGAACAATGAAAACGAGAAAACTTTTGTCACATCTGAACACAATGTGTGTGTGTGGGGGGGGGGGTGATAAAATTTTGTGAGTACACCGTCCATGAAGAGATTGTCATTATTTTTTTTATAGAAAATCTGTTTATCAGAGACATTTTAGTAGTGGGAGAGGGTAACATGGATGTGGCTACGAACAATGAAAACGAGAAAACTTTTGTCACATCTGAACACAATGTGTGTGTGTGGGGGGGGGGGGTGATAAAATTTTGTGAGTACACCGTCCATGAAGAGATTGTCATTATTTTTTTTATAGAAAATCTGTTTATCAGAGACATTTTAGAGGTGATAGTAAATAATAAGGTGTATCCTGTCGCCTTTATATCTCATAAAAGACTTGAAGGCATGAGCAAGATTTCTATTTTTTTCCGTTTGAAGGGACATATTTGGCCCATAAGCCAGAGTACCTCTGATATATAGCTCAAGGAATGATCTGGGAAATGTTTCACGAATGGGCCGTAACTGGAATCTAACACGCCATCTGATCGAGATTTCCTAGTTCTAGATTTTTAAAAATATTTGTGTTATTGTTTTGTTATTTTTTACCTTTGATGACAACTTCTGTCCTTGCACAAATAAACACATCTCCATCAAACCCGTCTGTGTTGAAATAGTAATAATAGTCTGCGCAACATAGGTAAAGTCCTGTATCACTGCATATAGTATTTATCACCTCCAGTTTCAAAACATAATCGTGGGGACTATGAATGTTATCCGCGTGCCACGCTCTCCAAGATCTCTCAGATATCAAAGGATGCTTTGGGAACAAAATATTTTAATACTCATTAAATAAGGACAAAATACAAGTATAGGCAAGTTAAATCTTAGCATTTCCTTATGTTATGTATATAAAAGATCGTAAAAACAGAAGCTCGTTTGATCGTGGTATGTTTGACGAGCTTCTGTTTGCAGACGATTGTGCCCTCAATGCTCCATCAGAAGCCGTCATGCAACACAGCGATGATATCTTCTCTGAGGCCTGCAATAACTTTGGCCTCATAATCAACACAAAGAAGACCGAGGTGATGTATCAGCCAGCTCCCAGTAAGCCCTACGTTGAACCCAACATCATCATCAGTGGACAGCGTCTCAACCCGGTGGATAAATTTACTTACTTAGGCAGCACCCTCTCTAGATCTGTCGTCATGGATAATGAAATGAATGGCAGACTCGCAAAATCTAGTGCCCTATTTGGCAGGCTCCGCAGCACTGTTTGGGACAGGAGAGGTATCAGTCGAGAAACAAAGCTCAAGGTCTATAGCGCAGCAGTCCTCCCGAAATTGCTTTATGGATGTGAAACGTGGACTGTCTACCAGCGTCACGCCAAGAAACTGAATCATTTTCACACTACCTGCCTCAGGAAACTCCTCGACATCAGGTGGCAAGACAAAGTCCCCGACACCGAAGTCCTCGCTAGAGCGAACCTACCTAGTATCTTCACCACTCTGATGCAGTCTCAGCTCCGTTGGATGGGACACGTAGCCGGTATGGCAGACCACCGGCTCCCGAAACAATTATTCTTCGGAGAACTCACGATAGGCAAGCGCTCCAAAGGAGGCCAAAAAAAGCGTTACAAATACTCACTGAAAGTGGCACTAAAGGCCTTCAACATAAACCCTACTCAATGGGTGCAGACAGCCCAGGACAGAGCCAGGTGGAGAGCTGCTGTCAAGAAGGGGGCTACATCCCATGAAGCTAATACAATAACCACAGCTGAAATACGCAGGCTTGTCCGAAAAATGAAATAGCATAAAGCCTTCATCAGCCAACAATAGAAATGAAAATACAACAAAGAAAAGAACACAGTAGAAAACTCAAGCAGTATTCATTCGTCTCTCCGGAAGTGGGAAAACAGGAAGCGAGAGAAAATAAATATTGACACCGTGAAAAATAAAGTCCATCTGACAGCCATAGTTACCTATTGTACTCATCCTCCCACCCTAAATCATGCAAAGACTCCATACCTTTCTCACAACTTCTTAGACTACGGCGTCTCTGCCAAATTGATGAGGAATTTCTAGAAAGAGCCGATGAAATGATGGATTTCTTCCGCTCCAGATCCTATCCTGAAACTACTCTGGTCTCAGCACTAGATCGCATCAGCACGATCACACGAAAAGAGGCTTTTAAAACTCGCCCTAACAACAATGAGGATCGTACCAAACTTATACTAACCTACCACCCTCACAATTTAACTGCCAAAAAAATATTCCTAAAAAATCGTAGCATACTTCTTGCTGACCCTGATACCAACAGGGTTTTCTCATCCCCTCCACTGATTGTCTTTAGACGGGACAGAAATCTAGGTGACCTTCTGGTTCATAGTCGCCTTCGATCTGAACCGTCTTACGTTGGTACTAAACCATGCTTAAGAGGCCGCTGCAGAACTTGTCCCTTTACACTCCAAACTGATAGCATTGGCCTCCCTAAAGGTACTTTTACCATTAAAGAGGGTTTCACCTGTGTCAGCAGAAATGTAATATATGCGATTGTTTGCCGTAGATGCCAATCAAGTTACATAGGGGAAACTGGGAGAAGATTGGCTGATAGGTTTACTGAACATCTAAGGGATATTGAGCAATGTAAACCTTCCCCGGTCTCTTCTCATTTCAACCAAAAAGAACATAAAGGTGCTTTGGATGTAACCATTACGGCACTGATTTCATGCAGTAACACACCAGATAGGGTTAAAATGGAAAATAAATTTATTCAGCTGTTTGGCACCATATCTCCATATGGTATTAATCAAATAATATCCTACTGATGTTTCTCCGTCTCCCTATATTTCATCTATTTTCTTATTGCTGTTTGTTGATGTATCCCTTGATATTCTGGCCCATTATTATTGTGGACTTTATTTTTCACGGTGTCAATATTTATTTTCTCTCGCTTCCTGTTTTCCCACTTCCGGAGAGACGAATGAATACTGCTTGAGTTTTCTACTGTGTTCTTTTCTTTGTTGTATTTTCATTTCTATTGTTGGCTGATGAAGGCTTTATGCCGAAACGTCCTTGTTTTTTGTCCTGTTACCTTTTTTCAAGCTTCCACATACCTCGTTTCACTATTTCATTCTTTTACATAGCTTGAAAGCAGTCCCTTCATTTATTTATACTTGTCCGCAAGAGCAACATTAGGTCATCGTCTGAAGCAACTATTCCATGCCCACGGTGTCATAGACTATTCCGAGCAAGGATCGGTCTAACAAGCCACCTACGAGCTCACCGTAATCCCAACCCCCTCCCCCCAGCCCGTAACCGGAGGATTCGATGGTCCTAGTCGACTTCGACGGACGAACAACAACATATATAAAAGAGACCAAAAAAATTGTTTAGTAAACAGTAAAGTTAGGCATTGATTAAAGGACAGAGTAAAAAATAACGACGGTGCAGGTTAATCATGCCGTCATAAGTTAAAACAATAAATTAGGAGAAGCCTAATTTTTACATAATTGTACATCATACATATCCTACTGATTGAATAAGAAATGTGTATTCAAAGTAATACAAAAATGGCTGGGAATATTCAGAGGCGTATCCAAGGTCTGGCAAGACACGGCACTGATAGTGGGTGTCACTTGAATTTTGAGGGTGGAGTGGGGAGCTCGAAATTTAACACATGCTTAAAAAATAAAATAAATAAAATTCAGTGCTCTTTTTACCTCCAACCTTAATTGTAAAAAGTGCATTACATATTTTTTAAAAACAATGGACATTTTTGTAGATTAAATCAACAAAACACGTTGTAGGAGACGTTTTCTGTGCGCATAGAAAAAAAAGGCACGACTCTTTCTTTCTCTCTCTTTCTCTCTCTCTCTCTCTCTCTCTCTCTCTCTCTCTCTCTCTCTCTTTCTCTTTCATATAAATATATATATTTAAAGTACTTCACATGACCCAGTGTTACTCGGGGATTAAACAATGTCAAATTGGGCTACTAACTATTTACTTGCTCTGCAGAAGACTTACGTATGTTCCTTTTTTTAAAATATATTTCTAAACTTCCCCATACATTTCAACTCAGAAACCAAACTTTTTAATCCAAATTTTTACATATTTAAGCTAGTTCAGTTTAAATGTATTCTTATTATTTTTTTTTAAAATATTGAGCTTTTACCATGACTAAACATTTTCACGAAATGTTTACATTACATATTTTTGATTGAAACATTGTCACGTCTGTATTGTCATAAGGTATCCTCATAAATATTTTCAAACAGTTGTTACTGTCATTGACAGTTAAAAAAAAAAAAATAGAGACAGTCCGAATGGATTATTTTTTTTTTGGGCACTGAAACAAGATCAAAATTTCAAAATGACTTCCGGCTAAAACCGAAGCCGAAACCAAAAGCTTTAGTCTTTCGATCGTACCCGGAACCGAAAGATTTATTGTCACGTCTGTATTGTCATAAGGTATCCTCATAAATATTTTCAAACAGTTGTTACTGTCATTGACAGTTAAAAAAAAAAAATAGAGACAGTCCGAATGGATTATTTTTTTTTTGGGCACTGAAACAAGATCAAAATTTCAAAATGACTTCCGGCTAAAACCGAAGCCGAAACCAAAAGCTTGAGTCTTTCGATCGTACCCGGAACCGAAAGATTTAGGTGTTCCAAAACTCGTTCGTGCATACGTTCTGTGTACATCGAAAACCGCTGGGGGAAATAGATTGTCTTGTGTTTTAATAGATAAACATTTAATGAATACTTTGACTTTGATCGAAAGCTCAGTCTATGCATTATTTATTGGCATTTTGCTCACTAAAATGTCCATACATAAATTATGAATGAATTTTTATTCTGATAACATTGTCGTTGAAAATTGTTTCGTTATTGATCGACATTGAAATGTTTCGTTGATCCACAATTATTATTTACCGGCTAATTTATATTTGAACGAATATTGAAATACGTTTAGCACCATGATACAGTTCAGTCTTGGTCACATTCGAACTACCAATATAGTGCAATGTAGTCTTAGAACAGTACCCCAAAATCGTACAATGGTAAATATATAAACATAGAGTATAATGTGTACAAAACTATTCACAAAGCATGTCTGGTAAAGATCACTTTTAAAAGGAAGTTGACTGGCTTTCATGTGCTTCTATGCCGTGCATTGGTGCAAATAACACTGAGCCCGTCATTTTCTGCTTTGATATACGAAGAAATGGTGTTGAAGCGGAAGCTGAGGGCGCCAACCAAAGTCAGCCGAACAAAAGTAGGGATGGGTTTGGGGAGGGGTTAAGCCCCCAATCCATTTTTTTAAATAAATTCAAAACGCAGGAATTCACGTTTGTGTGTACCTGAATATACCGTATATACTCGCATATAAGCCTACATCGTATGTAAGCCGACCCCTAAAACTGCTTTAAAATGGCCAGTGTTTGCAAAAACCCGCATATAAGCCGACCATACAATTATCAAATTTTAGTCCATATTTTTGGTTCATAGAAATGTGTTGCTGTAAAGATGTAAAATGCATACTTTCATGTTACATACCAGTTTGTTGACCTTTTGGAATGACACAAAAACGTGTTCTGCTCTTTCATACTCAGTATAATTATCAGCTTTGCAGACATTAAATTCTTTGAATT